CCCCCAACTCGGCCGTTGGGCCGCCGTGGAGGGGCGCCTCAGGGCTGGCTCCTGCGCTTGGTGCTGCTTTTCCTTTCCCGTCTCTCGCCTCCTCCGGCGGCGTTGAGGTAGACGGTGTTCCTGCTGCGTGGCTGCTGCTTGCCCCTTGTCGCCGTGACGGATGGCGGAGGGAAGGACGCTGTGTTGAAATTAATAGGGAAAGCACAGCTCGGTAAGCCAGACTGTAAAATACACGGAGAGCCCCACTGCAGCATGTGGAGGGGGCTGATGCCACTCTTTTAACAGCATTGCTGCAAAGTGGAGCCCTTCAGTGCTTTTTGGCCTCCGCTCCACCCGTGGTTTAAGATCCAGGCACATCTGTGGAGTCCACTCAGTACCCAGCGTGCAGTTAACTCTGCAGTGTAAATAATCCACTTGCAGATCACTAGGAGTTGGCCTTATTTAAAACAGAGACCCTTTAGTGCAGAGCCTGTGACTTGCAGTGTTTCATGGCCAGTTTAAACTGATCTGTATCCTGCTGATGTTAAAAAGGCGAGAGGTGGTTCTGCACTTTCTCCCTCTGCCTTGTCCTAGCAAGGCGTCCATGGGGCCATTAGGGCCTCTGAAAACAGGACCGTGGTTGTCCCCCAGAAGGAAAGGACATGTCACTTTCCCCCACCTTGCTCCCAAGCTGCTCTGCTTGGGCCCAGTCTGTCCCGTGTGCTAGCCCTTGCATTTACTGTCCCCTTTGGATTGATTTAATGGGTTAAGCGACAGAGCTGGTATCAGTGAGTTAGCCTGGCTCACAGAGAGGCCCAAAGCACAGGACTCAGGAGATGGGAAGTGAACATCTCCCTTTCAGCAGCAGGGAGCAGCGATGTTTGCCTGCCATCCCTCTCCTGCTAGCAGGTTTCATGTTACACAAAACTGCAAGCTGCTGTTGATTCAGGTGGTCCTTTTCTTCCCCATGCTGTTCTGTATACCATCATTCCCCCTTTCTGACCCTGGAGCTGGTGTTTATTTGACCTCAGGGAAACAATTCATGGAGCTGTATGTTTTTGTTTGTTGTTTTGTTGTAGATTCAGATTCCAAAGTTTTCTTACTCTAGGGTTAGGCATATGCCAGAATTGTCACAAGGAAAGCAGAAACACGCAGCCAGAAGCTGGATGAGGAGAGGAAAGGGCTCCTGGTCGTCTCCTTTCAATGGCACTTAACAATTGAGTCATGAAAGTGCAACGGCCAAAGAGCATTGTTAGTTTCAAAACAAGGCAGTCTGGCCCTCTAGTTTGCCTCATTAGCTTAACGCAAGGGAAGGGTGAGAATACAGGAGGTTGAGGTACTCCTTTCATGGGGCGGCAGGATTTAGATAAACGGAGGAACCACACCTGCAAGCTGCAGTTTCACTGCAAGGTAAGCGAAACTGAACTGTGGCTGCTGTGGTCCATCCCATACAAGTGCACTGCACAATTATTGCCTGCTTATTACAAATCACACTTTCAGGAATTCTGCACTTGCGTTCTGTCTCATGCATTGGCATCTGTGTGACCTTGCAGTGCGCTGGTTCAGGGCAAAATCTGGCAAAATGAAAGGTCTACATCCAAGCACAGAGGAGAAGGCAAGACCACAAGCAGCCCTTAACTGGTTTTGATGTGACCTAGCAAACTGAGCATCCCATCCTTGATTGGTCCACAGGCATTGCAATGGTAAAGATTATCTAAAAGATTGTAGACACCTTTAAAACAGAAATATATGTATTATACTTTAAGCTTATTCTGCCAAAAGCTTGAGTTTCATAATGTATTGTTACAACTGGATTTCCCCATGCACGTATAAAGGACCTTAGTTTTGGATCGAGCTAGATCTTTTCCTGTATGTGCAATGTCATTTACTAAGATAGATTATTAAAATTTAGGATGGAAACATTACTTGCTTTTATTGAAAATGTGACTCAAACTGATGGACATGCAAAAATAAATATCCACAAAATAAATATCAAAAAGATAACACTCTGTATTGTGATATTTTTCAGTGCATTAGAATCCAATTCTGTAGTATTGTAAGTTTAAAAAGTAAATCTGTTTCCCGTTTTATTGAGATTGGCTAAATATCAATGGATATTTGATAGTAGACTTTTGGCTTATTGAGAACTGTAAACTGTTTCAGTCAATCAGATGATGTTTCTGAGAAAGAAAGTAATTTAAAATTCACCTTTCGTTATAGTCTGAGTTAATGACAATCTTTTGAGATAAAAAATAGCCTAAGCAAAAAGGGTGGAGAAAGCTCATGGTATTAGCTTTTGTGAATTCTTCTTGATTTAAAGCAAGTATACTGATTAGATAATCTAATTAGCTGTGGAAAGCATTGAAGCTGAGGAGAAGGGTAAAGTATAACCAGATACAGACTTGAAACATTGGAACCGTTTTGTCAACCAACAGATGACATCGCAAAGTTACGTTAAGGGCAAAAAGCCATGCTGGGATATGTGGCTTTCTCCCTCCTTCCTTTAACATAATGAACATTTTCTTAGAAAATGCAGGAGGAAATAATGGCCTTGCTGTAAAATCAGAGGACTGGGTTACTGTATTTCATCCTGTTATTACCTATCAGCAGTAGTGCCTTTATACTGTGTAAGCATTGATACAATACTAGAAAAATGGCGGCCTTCTTACTGCTGAGATGCTCCTCTAAAGATCAAGGCAATTTCCTTTGACATCCTAGCACTAAACAGAATTGTTATCCCTTTTATGGGAACAATAACACTGGTTCCTTCTTTTTTTTTTGTTTTCCTCCGGAAACTCATAGCATTTTGCTTTTGCAAATGGAGCTTCTGGAAACACATTTCTTAATAAGACATTTGTAGCACTCTAAAGTTGAATCTGGAGCTGTTCTCCAGATTGGACAAAGGACACAGTTTTGGTGTTAGATGTCCTCACAAAGTCCCAGTGAACTTTGCAGCTAGGGCTGTGGGCTAGGCTCCAAAAAGAAGCCATTTTCATTCAAGCTCAAGATCTTTTAAAGCTTCTTATTCTCAGTTAAGAAGATTGCTTTCTTCAGAATGCAATCTTCTTGATATGCAAGCGCGTGAGGGTAAATCCACTACTCTTGTATATTTGTACAACGCATAATATTTTGTAGAGCAGTTAAGCTCAGTAATTGAATGAGCAATCAAAATTTCTGTCAGTCGTCAAGAGTATGACTTGCTAGCAATATGAACTATTACACCAGGAGGTGAGGTAAATGACACTAATCCAATGAGGCACATTCCCAACCTGAATTGCACACCAAACCTGTTTCTACGCCCCCATCCCATACAAGTGCACTGCACAATTATTGCATGTAACGTCCTGTTCTGAAAAAAGCAGGAATCGTACAGAGAAGTTGGCTGGGGAGGAAGAATGCCGTGCTCTTCGTTCCTTTGTTTGATAAGAAAGTGTGTACTATATTTCAGACTCTGTTTCTGCCCTGTTTCCTTTCCTGGCTGAGACCTTGTACAACCCCATTATCAATCTTACTGTAGTGAGCCTATCAGTCCTTCCAACAGAAAAGCTACTTCCACAGGCTGACTTGCCCTTCTGAAAATGCCTTTGTCTACAGAAGTTGTAATCCAGTCAGTGAAAGCATCATGAAAACCTTTAAAAACCCTCTGACTAGAAGTTCTCTTTATCAGAAATAGCAAGTGAAGGCCATCGTAATAACGAAAACAAAGTGAATTTAAATATGAATCATTCAGACACGTCACATAAATTACATTTGACGTAGCTTAAGTTTACACTGAAGAAATTTATGAATAATTTTTCCTTACATTCCTGTCAGATGCATCAGCAGCTGTGGCAGCA